TAGGTACGCCATAAATTTTATCTAGCATCTCACCGTAGATGCAGTAAAAAGTGCTTTACTTTTCAATGTATATAAAGACTTGCTCAGCTCAATCAGTTCACTCTGTATTGGCTCAAGCCGTATCATGCGAACGCAATACAAACTAGAGCACCGACAGCGCAGCGCTCCCCAACTCACTGCTCGCCCAGTCCACCCGGGCCGCCGCCACGACGGCCCCCCCGCAAGTAGGCATCCCGCACTGCACCGACAGCCGCGGGCGACCAGCTGACCGGCCAGCTGACCGGCCAGCAGCCGCACGGTCTTGCCGAATACCAGATTAGCGCGAATTTAATCAAAAACCCGACTTTCGATAAACCGTTACTTATACCTATCAATGGGTAGGAAATTGTCCAAAGTTATCGGATTGAACCTTATTTTTAAGCCACTTTATCATTTGAGGACTTATATCCCTGCCGAAAGTAGACCCACGCTCCGGTTACTGAAATCGGGCTATGGTACTGAGAAATATGTCCAGTTTTTAATGTAAATTTTACGGAAGCTTCGAGAAGATATATGAGAAAATAGCATATCACCGGATGGCACAATTCATGATGAAGATGTTTCTGCTATCAAGGTAGCTTTTCAAAGAATGGTTTCTGAGTTTAATGAGTTAGAACAGGAGCCTTGCATGTGTATCGTTCTCACGATAGTATTTCATAAAGAAGTTGGAAAATGTCAAAATGGATAAAAATGGATATGACGAATAGGGCATGGCTGAACTCTCCGCACATTTCTGAACATAAGCGAGCAAGTTTCAGCTGCCACTTTTTGCCTATTTGCCGTCAATTCAGCTTTGAACATGTCTAGTCGGTCGCCCGGCGTGACCTGACCAAGGTCGGGGGCGGCGCGGCCGAACAGGCTCCAGTCTAATTAACTATCTCAAGCACACGGAATCGTGATTTCATGCACTCCTTGCAAGGTCCGATGCTTCACTTTTGCATTATTGGCCTTACGTGACGTCATTTATGACGTCACTAGGGTAATAAGAGTTTTTCGTCAATAACTCCCGATCAAATTGAGCTAGCGAGTCGGGAAAGCCACCAATGGACTCAGGAAGACCTGCCGAATCGAATGATATGCACCATGACCTGCTTCGACCAACTTCGTGATCTGGGGATATGATATCTAACCTGGCCTTGACCCGAGGTCAACACCTTAAGTTGACTTAAGCCGAACAAAAAGTATACCATTCGACGCACCTGAGCGAGGCGAACACGATGATACCAAAATTGCGGCTCTGCGGCATTTTTTTGCGAAGTTATTAATAAAAAACGAATCCATGCCTTGGGCCACTTGACCTGACCTCAGAGGTCACATTTTAACCAGAGACCTTAAAATCGGATACCAGTTGCTGCGTCTCGTAACGGCACACACGCTCGTTTTTTTCCGCGAGGCTCTAGTTTCATCAGGGGCGAAACAGCGACGGGGGTCGTACCCCCCCCCCTTCGGCCGGCGCGTATTTTGAAAACCAATAGGTCCGGCGAGGGGTAAATGTCAGTTTTGGAACCAGAGAACCATTTTCAGTGGATCCGAGCGGCGTTGGGATTAAATTCGCGCTAAACTGGTCTTCGGCCACACTGTGAGCCGGCGGGCGGCAAGCCGCGGATGGCCGACCCGCCGGCGCGGCGAGGGAGGGGAGGGACGCAGCTGAAAGACCCGACTACATATATATCAAAGAAACATTATATGTAATCATCGATGACGCGACATATATCTGCTTTATTGGGTTTAGCGGTGTAGTCTGTGATGCCATCACAATGAAAATAGCCTAGTTTTGTAGAGCATCAAATTCTGATTCCATAACGACTCTCGCTAGTCCATTTTCAATTGTAAATAAGCCTTTTATTGCGATGCAAAGTCCCGAAATGGTGCCGACGGCGGCCGGTCCCCCGATGGTACACTCGGGGGCAGAATGATGTTCCACCACTCCCTACCCATCGGGCGATCCCATGGCTCAGCACTGGCTGCTGTCAGTGTTGCCTGCCCTCGGCACTGCTCAGCACTGCATGCCAGTGCCAGTGCTGCCAGTGCTGCCACTGGCAGCAGCCAGTGCTGAGCCATGGGAGCTCGATGGGTAGGGAGTCGTGGAACATCAATCTGCCCCCGAGTGTACCATACCATAGATCAGAGGGCTGTTCACGGGCCCTGTGTGCGGTCGGACCGCACACAGCCTCCAAGCTCCGCCCACTGCGTCCCTACGTCAGCCTTCCGTCACCGCACACAGCGATCGCTGTGGCCGTCGGGACTGGCCACAGCGGACCGTCCACCGCACGCAGCCGTGACGTCAGAACCGCCTACCCATCCCCTACCCCCACGCCTGCTGGACGCACCGCACACAGCGCACGCAGCAGTGTGCGGTGCCCGTGAACACCCCTCTGGTAAACAGGTTAGTTCACATTCCCGCCGCTATGCGGGCGGCGGCGGCGCCACCTGTCCTCGTGTCCGCCTGACACCGTAACGATATAGGTCTGAGCTCAAATCTCGGTAATGTCGTGCTTTTTTACTATATTTCTCAAAAACGGCACCACGTGCAATAAAGTTGTATATATCATTGGAAAGAGCATCAAAAGTTGTATAACCTATCAACTTTTCACTTAAATATATCTCAACTGTAAAAAGTTATTAAGCAGCAAAGACGCTCCCATTCACTTTCCATGTTAAAATTTTTCATTTTTAAACGAGCCTAAAAAGAACAAACGAATTTGCACAGCTTAAAGAAGCATAACAATATGTTCTATGGTCTTTTCTCAACAAGTCCTGAAAGTTTAAACAAAATCGTATCATATAATTTTGTACAATGAGCGAATGAAAAAGTCTCTGCAAAAACGCCCATTGACTTAACATGGGGAGCGAAAAAAGTTCAACTTTGACCTCGTGCAAAGACACGTTACGAAGTTCTGAGGGGTATACGGCGCACACTAGCGTGTACCCAAACGTGTTTGCCATAAAATGCTGGGAAGAAAACCACCTCTTCCTTGGCTCGTTTTCCCGCCATTGGCGATCGCGCAAAAAGTGTCCAAAACCCCGTTGACTTAACATGGGGAAAATGGAATCGCACGTGCCACGTGCCACGAGGTTTTAAGCGAGTAGCGACCGGTGCCATCAGGTAGATCGCCCCCAGGAGCCCATATTCTGAACTTTTTACGGAAATCGCAATGCACGTTTAGGCCCCGGTCAAGTTGCCCCAATTCGCGGCCAGACTTGCAAAACATAGCCCGGAGACGGACCGCTCCGGTTGTTTTTCAATAGAAAAACACAATTCTAACGAATAGTGTTTGTCTTTTCAAACAACCTGCGGTTAAAAACACAATTCTAACGAATAGTGTTTGTCTTTTCAAACAACCTGCGGTTATATTCAATAGAAAAACACAATTCTAACGAATAGTGTTTGTCTTTTCAAACAACCTGCGGTTACTGTTGGAGTCCTGTCCTAAAAAATTCAAGTCCCAGTTGTTTCAGGTCAGGTGACCGGTCCACAAAAGCCGATAGATTGTCAGGCAACTAATTGAAATAATTTAGCGACATCGGAATAGCAAAGTCCTTTGCAGATAGCGTAAGCACGGTAGCACTGATAGCGCCAATAAGCCTCAGACCACCGTCTTTGAAGCATATTCCATATGACTTACGTCTTAGGATTTTTGAATCCCCGTGAATTCAGCTCAGGTCACTGGGTCGTGAAAACCGTTGCATCGTCAAATTAACGATGAAATTATACTTTTTATGAAACCTTAGAGTTTCACATCCATTTGATGCAAACTTGCAGATGTTCTCAGTTCACCGAATGCGAGAATATGTATTTCGTTTTCTTTTTAGTTCGTTTGGCGTGACATCATCTCGAGGTCATGATTTTCTTAAAATGATTTTTTTTCTCGAATGGCTTTGATTGTAAAAATATTGGACATCTACTCCATCTCATCGTTTTTGTGTTGTACTTTCTCAGTTTATATGAACACGCGACTAAGTTTGCGTTTGTTTGCTACAATTCCACGTATAGCCATAATAACGATTATTACCGACTGCTTACATGCAGCATATTATTTTGCTGAATAAGCTCCACAGTGCTTATCATCATTACTTTGATAAACAGTCAGCCAGTGCATTTAGCGGCCCATTTTCTTGATTGTGTGATCAGCTTTCCTCCTATCGTATTCGTGTGTCAGTGGCGACAGAAAACGCAACGTTTGCGTGACCCCTGCTCCGGTATTTTTGAGTCGGTTCCGTCGCTTATCATTCTACGAGTAGCAAAGACTCTTCTGATCACTTCTTACCTTGAATTTTTGGATGGTAGCCAAGCTAGTATACCAGACATTGGAATATTGTGCTGCTGCCATGTTGATCGCCTCACGAGGACAGGACAAACATAATGCTGCCGGTTGGATTTCGTACAGGTTTATGCGTAATTTCATTCAATCGCGACCAAATTTGTCTATACATTACAATAAATAAGTTTCTCCATTCATAATGGATTAAAAACAAGGCAATAAGCTTTTTGTGCAACAATGGTGAAAGGGAGAGATGCGAAATGATACGATCTATAAAGAATACATAAAATTGATCTCTTTAGGTACAAAGTTATCGCCATGATAAGCAGTTGAATGATGATTAATTTGGATAGAAGCGTTTGCGTTTGTGCGAGTTTATGCCTGGAGAACGGCATTCATGTAGCAGGCGTTCCCGAGGTTTTCTAGGCCAGCAGTTCCGGCCGGGAGTGACGCTACTCTGGTTTCCGGCCGGAGGAACGGGCTGGTCCTATAGAAATATGTCATTCGTACCGGCTGGCGAGTAGCTGGCGCGACTGAAGTGGTCTTCTCCTGACCAGCCGGTACTGTTCCAGCTGTTGGCGATGATGCAGTTCCAAAGAGAATTAACTCGGTTTTCGTGATGTTCACTTTTAAGCCGCCTGCAGTTCAGATTATATGTCGCGTGACGGCCCAGCCCCGTGACCTAGCCCTCGATTTCAGACGGCACTGCCGGCGGCTGTGAGTACGACACCGCTGACCTGACGGCCCTGGTCGGCTCCGCGGGAAAGGTCACGTTGATGCGTCCTTCCGCGTGTCTGGCCGAGCCGTCGGCATGCCGGAAGGGACTGCAGAACGCCTTCGTCGTGGTCATCCATTATTACGGTGGAGAGATCACCGAAACTATCAGCAGAATGGTGAGAAATCGGAAGTGGTCTTGTGTTCTGCATCTCGACTCGTTATTTAACACGCGCAGTGGAAGGGGGGGGGGGCGGATTTCGCTCACCCCTCCTGTTTTTCGCCAATGACCTGCGCCGCAAACATAATATTAACCCTCGCCGGACCTATTGGTTTTCTACATACGCGCCGGCCGAGGGGGGAGGGGGCGGGTACGACCCCCCATTGCCGTTTCGCCCCTGGTGGAGCTAGCGCGTCGCGGAAAAAACGAGCGTGTGCGCCGTTACGAGACGCAGAGATTGGTACCCAATTTTAAGGTCCTAGGTCAACCGGTGACCTCTGAGGTCAGGTCAAGTGCCCCAGGGTACGGTTCAGTTTTTGGTGAATAACTCCGCAAAAAACGGCCGCAGAGCCGCGATTTTTGCAGCATCGTGTTCGCCTCGCTCAGGCGCGTCGAATGATGTACTTTTCGTTCGGGTTAGGTCAACTTAGGGTGTTGACCTCAGGTCAAGGTCAGATCAGCACCCCAAGGTCACGAAGTTGGTCGAAAGAAGTCATCTCGCATATCATTCGATTCGGCAGGTCTTCCTGAGTCCATTGGTGGCTTTCTCGACTGGCTAGCTCAATTTGATCGGGAGTTATTGACGAAAAACTAATATGACCTGGATGACGTCATAAATGTCGTCACGCAAGGTCAACATTGCAAAAGTGACGCATCTAACCTTGCAAGGAGTGCATCAAATCACGATTCTGTGTGCTTGAGATAGTTGGAGATCGTTCCCGGCGCCAGAATAGCAGTTTTCATTTTCCCCATTGACTTATAATGGTGAGGTCACGAAAATGACCTGACCTCATATGACCTTTAGGGAAAATCCGAGATATACAAGTTGTGAGACTCATAATGGATACTAGATCCTGCAAGTTTCATTTCCCTGTGACATCTCCTCTGGCAGTGAGGGCGCTGCGAAGTTGCGACATCTGAAGACCGTGCAGAGGTTCACTTATGACGTCATAGGTCAGTGACCTGACCTGACCCAAAAATGCGGTTGGTGTCAAAAGATGCGGCTTGGATCAAAGGTCAGGTACCTAATGCCAAGTTTCAGCTCTCTATCGCCAGCGTGTTCGGAGCTATCGCGAAAAAACCCTATGGGGGGGGGCGGCACCCGCCCCCCCCCTCGGCCGGCGAGGGTTAATGTGAAATTTTGGCTACCCGTCCAAAATTGAATTGCGGATCTTCTCGTGCAAGAAATAAGGAAATCGGTTCACAACTTTTCTAGTAATAGCGGTGTAAAGTCAAACATCCTGCCGCCGCCGCGGCGCGGCGGCGCGACAGCCGGCGCTATTGCCGTTACGCGCCGCCTGAATTGTAGACTGCCCGGGCGGGACGGTTCCGTCTTTACATCACGCTCCTTACCGCTGATTATATTCGATTCGCGTCAAATTTAGTGAGAAGACTGAGAAATGTACCGGCAATCATATGGTCAAAGAATTTTGAAAATCGGTCGGTGAAAATTTGAGTTATGAGTGTGTAAACACAAAATTGTGAATGCCGCGTTTCCCGCGTCGGCCGATCCCGCTTCAGCCGGCAACATCTTACCCTTAGCAGGCTTCTAACTGCCATATTTATTGTTGGATTAACTAGAAATTCACCATACATACTCACAAATGTACGTTCTTTCGTATAGTGAGAGAAAAAAAATCGGCCGGTAACCTTTTGAGTTATCGGCGTGTAAACGCAAAAAAGTTGCTGACATGGCAGATTTGACCACAGTTGACCTCATTTGACCTTGAAGATATTGACCTAGGGTCATAACATTCACACACAACAGAGTTCCCCAGGACCCCCACCTACCCTCCAAATTTTGTCTTTCTAGCTCCAGTGGGAGATGACATCTTGGGGGGGGGGGGGGCTGACATCCACCCCCCCTTCCACTGGGCGTAGTACTCGCAACCCTTCCACTGCGAGTGCGCGTGTTAAAGCTTGGTACTCATCTGCACATAGGGAATTCTAATGTGGAATCCTTTCAAAGTAACCAAGTGGTATCCGCCTTTAAATGAATGTTAGTATCCTGTTTACAGGCCTTCAATCACGCGGTATTACCTAATACCTTTACCTATTTTCGATCGTGTCGCTTATTTAAGTTTGAATTGCTACAGATCCTTTCTTGAATCTTACACGGGCGTAGGAACGTCATGAAAAGTGGGTGGGCCACCCTGTCAAGGGGCCTCCTCTTCCAGGGGGCCTCCTATTTTCAGGGGCCTCCAACTTTTGCCTCGTCCTGCTGGCTGCTTTCAAGTATGACCTCCAAATCTAGCTTCTTAGATCAGGCAGATGTACCCAGGGGCGTAACCGCTTAAGCGAACAGTGCGGAAAGTCATCACCATTTTAAAACTTATTCCCCCTCCGATTTTTTTTTACCCCTGAAAACCCTTACACAAATGTCTTCCTCGTTTCCCAGGTTCCCCCATTGGCTTCATATGCACCCTCTTTGGCATATAAGCGCCATATGTATAGTATAGTCATCAGAGACATCCCTGATGTCCCACAGTTATCGCATACAATGTGCGCTTATCATAGGCGTCTCTCTTTTATGGACACTTGAAGGCGCCTCTCTTTGCCATGCCGGCGCCCCTGTTTCTTATGAATGCACCCCCATGGCATTGATCAATTGCAGACATGGGTGGAGAACCTGCCCCGGCCACCCCGGCCGTGGCCGGGGCAACTTTCAGCCGCTTTTTTCCACTTTTGTAAATCCTAAAAGCTGTCTCCATACGAAAAAACTGCCATCTATAAAAGCGTCTCTCATTATTCTTATTTACCTTGAAAAGTTCTTGAAAATTTACTTTATTTTCATTTTGGAGCTTCTATGTTTTTAAGTCTTTCATCGCGGAGCCCGACATGTTTCATCAAACAGAAGTAAATCATATTTAAGGGCCGTTATCGTAAGATGGCACTGTAATAACATCACAAGACAGGACGAGGGTAATATCAGGAGCGCGCATCTCCTTCACACTGGACGTCGGCCCGCTGAGGACAGGTGCGACGGCGGAGGAGAAGGAGAGGACTGCCGCCCAGCACCTAGCATCCCTACCACAGTGCGCGGTGTGGATGTGGTCGGACGGGTCCGCGGAGGGCGGCACAAGGAACGGAGGGGCTGGAGCAGTCATCATGTGGCCGGATGAGGAGGTACTGGAGCTAAGAGCTCCGGCGGGTGACTTCTGCTCCAGTTACCGTGCAGAAATGCTCGCCTTAGTTACGGGCCTGGAGACCCTAACATCACGCACCAAAGATAGCGACCTACCACTGATCATCTGCTCCGACAGCATGTCGGCATTGGCGACCCTGCGGAATGGCCCCGCCGCCCAGACGTCACCGCTGGGGACGGCGGCCTGGAGAGCTCTACTGCAGCTAGCCAAAGATGGTCGAGAAATCAGGGCCCAGTGGGTCCCTTCTCACTGTGGCATACACGGCAATGAAGAGGCGGACAGAGTGGCCCGGGAAGCAGCCCAGCTCCCTCAAGAAAGGACGCCCATCGACACGAGGACGATCACCAGTACCGTGGCGAGAATGGCTAGGGACAAGACAATCCAGTCCTGGCCCCCCGGCTGGTTCAAGTCTCTGATGGGCGACCGCCGGCCCCCGTCCACGGCCGGCCTGGAACGGGAGAGCGCGGTAGAAGTCCATCAGATCCGCGCGGGCCACTGGGCAGGCTCAAGAGCCTACCTACACCGGATCGGTCGCTCCCCTACCAGAGACTGTGAGGGATGCAACGACGACCGGTGCGATGGAGCGCGCTGCCCCATCTGCGGCGAGGAGGCGGACCGGCCGGCCCACATCCTCCTTCGCTGTCCCGCTCTGATGAGGACCCGCCTACAACTCACCGGCAGTATCCATCCGGACTTGGAGGAGGTCCGGGAGACCAGAGTGGTGGCGGCCCTGGCGGCCGCCGCCCGCAACTTCCAGAGCCGCCTGGCTACGCCCCGATGAGGGGCGGAGGGAGTCACAACACAACAACAACAGGGTAATATCAGTGAGATAGAAGGACGAGCTGCTGGGGCTCAAGGCTCCCCCAACTTAACCCGCGCCAGGGTGGTGGCCTTATCGTAACACGTTGAGTCGAGAGGTGGGCTTGTCACGCTCCTTCTAACTCGGCTACTGGGCTACGAGGCGAGAAGCGGAACGACGTTTGAAAGAGCGACAAACGTGATCAGAGAAATCTGGTCATGTTTTAGGCAAGCTCAATAATAAAATCACCATAGATCATCAGAAGCCAAATTTCTCTTATTTTAGCGTTCTCCGACAACGTTTCTCACAGTTCATGAATATAACGGAGCTTAAACACTGCAAACAAAACATTCGATTACTCGTTTAAGGCTCGGTCGCGAATAATATTTCAGGTGTGAGGCTGTGGACGCCTATATATGTAGGCCTCAGAGGCGCCCCTATTTCGCATTGAGGCGCCCCTATGGGCTTCATAGGCGCCCCTCTATTGCACGTAGGTGCCCTACTGTCTCAAAACCGCTCCCCTTTGGCATGCAGACGCTCATCTTTCGTACGGAGGAGCCGCTGTGGTTCTTTGAGACGGCATGGTGCTCCCAGACGCAGATGGGGCTCTCGGAGTCGACAGTGGGGGACCTTCAGTCGCTGATGGGAGCCCGCCAGATGTGGACCCTCGGAGACGCCGGTATGGGGCCCTCGGAGATGCCGGTATGTGGCCCTTAGAGACACCGGTGTGGAACCCTCAGATACTTCAGTGTGAAACCCTTACAATTGCTGGTGTGAAGCTATAAATGCGCTGGCTTAAATCCCTCAGAGGCCGGTACATGGACATTAGAGCTCAGTGAGAGCTTGTGTGGTGCCTTCAGTGGCCTTGTGGAGCCGTTAGACATCAACATGACGCTCTCAGGAGCGGGTGAGTCCTCAGAGTCACCGGTGTGGGGCCTTCAGAGCTCCGACATACTGGTGTGGGGCCCTCAGAGGTGTCGGTGTGGGTCCTTCAGATGTACCTATAGAGCCTTGAGATGCACAGGTGTGGTGGCCCACAGAGGCGCCGGTGTGGGGCCCCCAGAGCCACCGATATAGGGCGCTAAGAGACACTAGTATGACCCTCAAAGGCGCCGCTGTGTGGCGCTCATAAACACTGGTGTGGAGCCATCACAGGCGGGTGGAGCCGTTAGAGGCCGGAAGGGCCCTTAGCCCCTTAGATGCCTACAAGGAGCCTTCAGAAGCCGGCGTGGCACTCTTATGGGGACAAGCGTGTCTACTTAGGAGCCCTTGAGGTGCTCTCATGAGCTCTGTGGGGCCCTACCGAGCCGAAATATGGCCACGGCCAGTTGCCGCCGCATGGCTCTTCGGACTATCATTCTCAGGGGCCTCATCTGCCTAATTTGAATAGAAGGGCCTCTCAGACCATCAGTCTCATGGGCCTCCTCTGGCTAGTATAAATAGAAGGGCCTATTAGACCATCAATCCTAGGGGCCTCCTCTGGTTAGTATAAATAGAAGAGCCTCTCAAGTCTCAGACCATTAATCTCAGGGGGCTCCTGTGGACAGTATAAATAAAAGGGCCTCTCAGACCATCAGTCTCGGGGGCCTCCCTAGAAAAGTGTAAATGTGGATAGAGGGCCCCCTCAGATTCATTAGGAGTGGACCTCTCTGACTATCAGTCTCAGGGGCCTCTTGTGGCCAGTATGAATATAAGAGCCTCTCAGACCATCGGTCTCAGGGGCCTCTTCTGACTAGTGTGGATAGAGGGCCCTCCCAGACCACCGGTTTCAGGGGCCTCCAGTGGCCAGTTATATGAACAGAAGGGCCTCACAGTCATCAGCCTCGGGGGCCTCTTCTGACTGGTATGAATATGAGGGCCTCTCATACCATCAGTCTTAGGGGCCTCCTCTGCCTAGTATGAATCTAAGGGCTTCCCAGGCCAACAGTCTCAGGGGACTCTTCTGACTGGTGCCAGATTGAGGGACCTCCCAGACCGAAAGTTTTGGGGGTCTCCTGTGGCCAGTATGAATAGAAGGGCCTCTCAGTCCATCAGTCTCATGGGCCTCTTCTGCCTGGTGTGATTATAAGGGCCTCCCAGACCATCAGTCTCAGGGGCCTCTTCTGACTATTGAGGATAGAGGGGCCTCCTGTGACTAGTGAGGGTAGGGGGCCTCGGCTAGACCGCCAGTGTCAGGGGCCTATTCTGACTAGTGTGGATGGAGGGGCCTCCCAGACCACCAGTCTCAGACCTCTGACTAGTGTGGATAGAGGGGCCTCCCAGACCGCCAGTGTCAGGGGCCTCCCCAGACCAGTGTGGATATTGGGGCCTCCTCAGATCCACTAGGGCCTCTCAGGCCATCAGTCTCAGGGGCTTCGACTGACAAGTATGAACAGAGGGCCTCCTTGGATCCATCACGGCCCCTTGGAGCCCGTGCGTGGGGATTCGTGGAACTTATTTTTACCGAGTTTGTTTATTCTGGAAGGTGACGACGTCCCCTCAAATCGAGACGAGGGGCCTCGAGTAAAAAGTGGGTGGGCCAAAACACATGGTTGGCCCCCCCACCTCGAAAAGTGGGTGGGCACTTGCCCACCTGGCCCCCCCTGTTCCTACGCCTATGGAATCTTATGTGCGCACACTACTGTTCTACGGTCATTGACTCTTGAATGAAGCACAGGTCCCCGCCTGCGATGACACCAGAGCTCACGATGACCAGCTGTCACCGTTTCAGCTGTTCAGCGAGGCAGTCGGTGACTCCCAGCGGGTACACGTGGTATTCACGGTGCAGGAGTCCCTGCTGGACCGGTTCAGCGCGCTGGCCGACCGGATGGACGTCAACCTGGCCACCGACGCCCGGCTGGCCATCGTCGGCTCCAGCAACGTCACGGTGGGTGAACATGCTTCATCTGCTGCAAGCCGGACTTGCTCCCCGTTGCTGTCTGTCTATGAAATATGCCTAATTCAGCGTTTCTTATGATAATATCACTTCTGTAATTACGCATCTAGTTGAACATAGTTCAGGTATAATATCTATCGGAATAGAGAAAAATGAGGATTATGTAAATGATAGCTCGCTCTCTGTACGTTTCTCTGCTCCCAAGTAAATACAACACTTGGTTGGGCGGCAGTTAGAACGATTCAAGCAGCATTCAGTTTGATGTGATTGCAGGAAACGTATTAGGTACGAAGACTGAACATACCCATCCTTTTATCTTCAATTCCTTTCATTCCTTGCCCGTATTGGTCTTTTTGCAGTGTTAAACGTATGGTGAGGGGGATGGGTCCGTAGGATTCTTCCAGATCTTTGGTCCGTGGCGGAAAACCCAGGGGGTCCGTTGTTATGTTCGTATTTTCCCGGTATCCCCATCGCATGACCTTGGACGCAAGTATGTACCATCTACGTGCTTATCAGGTTGAGCCAAATCAATATTTATTCATGAGGAATAACACAAATAAAAAAGGGCCCGCAAGGAGGAAATGAGAAATGTTATGGCACTTTGTTGAATGGAAAATTGAAAGCATCTGTCAACTGAATGTAGGAAAAATATCGATAGGTAATAAGTAAAATGCAACAATGGTTATCATAATTCCTGTCAATAGACCACGTACTATACATATAGGGTGCTACAGAGTTCATTTCCGCTAGACTACCGACTGGAAGGCCATTATACGAAAACCATCAAAGTGAGGGACGAGTCGATGCCCGCGGGTTTAATAGCTCGCTTCTAACGTACGACTAGGACGTTCTTTGAAAATCAATCAATCAGCTGACTAGGCCAATTGAATGATTGACAATCTGTTAGTTTTGACACCACGTTTATAAATGATGGATATGTGTGGAGTCGGACACCTACGCTTTACCATTATTCTGGGAGCCTAGCTATAACAATGTCGAGCTATATAATCCTCATTTCATTGTTTGCTGCTTATTATTCGTTAGTTGGTGATAAAAGAAACCCATTGCTACTACCAGACCCCAAAGGAGAAGCTAGCTGGTAGATATTGGGCTAAATAATTTGATGGTTCAAAGCATTTTGTTCTCCTTCAAAAATGTAGCGCCATAGAAAATTATGCGAAACATGCCGCAATAGAAAGAGAGGGATGACTGAGCAGTGAACAGCAATATACGATACTCTTGTTGTGAACGAGGAACTTATGCATGGCTTTGTATTAGACTGAGCATCCCTTCGATCAACAATGGCGGATGTAAAGCTGACAATATGGTCAGGCTCAGCTTGTCTAGCCATTACATGAAAATCCGCTCACGCTCATGGACCGCCCCGCCCCCCTCCCCGATGCAGTACGACGTTTTTCCTTCACCCCACCACCACACTAATGTCCGGCAGGTGCAGGAGGTATACCGAAAGTGCCGCCGCTGTCCGGTGACCTACCACACGATGAGCATGTGGAACGACGGCCGGGAGACGGTGCTGGACGGCAGGATGAAGGTGCACCGGCGCGGAGACCTCGGCGGCATCACCCTCAACGCTGTGGGGGTCAAGGTAGGACGAGGGTGCCAAAGGGATATGAGCAGCCCGCGACTCTTTTCTTGATTCTTTTTCTCCATTGATTAACGGAGAGGAATATTGACTTAGACTCTGTCTCACGATGGCGAGCCAGTCTTTTTGGGGGACGGGGGGATTTCGACGAAATGTTTGATGGAAGTTCAAAATGTTAATTATTTTGAACTACTTTCTATATCGAAAATCCCTCGTGATTGTGCCGTACGATAGTAGCTCATATGGCGAGGACTGAGAAGAGAGCCACAGCGTAGTCGTTACGGACCTTTCAATACGCCCACCGCACCAGGCTGAACACAGCGGGTGGTCTCAGAATGGGAGACGGCTCCGTCCCACGGGCCATCAATGGTGTCTAATAGACGGCGGCGCAGCGACCCGCTCCGAGCGGCACAAACCTAAACAGACACGTACGTGACACCGCACCTGCTCAGGTCGCGGCCGGTTTGCATGGACTCCAAGACTGACACCATGGCTGAGACTGATTAAACGGCCTTGGTGGTGCACTTGAATGGTCGGCGAGCTCCAAAGACTTCTATTCAATGGGGTAGCTTTGCCTACCGGTGGTTCGTTGGCTGCTTTAGATTATTGTTCACCCTACCACACAACATGGGGATCGACTATAACGTATTGATTATGGGATATCCAGCTCTGCAAGCTCAGAGTAATGATGTGTTCATTCCAAAGGATGTGAATGATGCTTGATAAGGTGCTGTCATTGATAAGCGTTAATGAAAAAAAGTTTATTTCGCACAACTCTCTGCGACCTGCATCCATAAGCATAAGTAAAACACAAAAATGTTTTTACCAAGCTTATTCGTGCAAACAGGTGTGAACACAAATGCTTACCTACTAAATACCATCATGCTCAAAGCCATTTTCTTACTGACTGTGAGACTTCAATACAGACCAAATTATGCTCAGCCTCACCAAATTAGATCAACACGTCATGTTCTCAGTAGCAACCACTCACTCAATTGGTTTACTCTACAGGTGTTTCCAATCTACACAAAGGTGGCAGAAGTGAACGGCTCTGATCAGCCGGTGGGCGGCGTCTTCTATCAGGTGGCCGCCTCGCTGGCCAGACAGTTCAACTTCACGTGAGTGCAACGTCGTACTGTGGGTAGTACTAACTACAAAATACTTGCAGAATAGTGCTGTACTGCAAAAGAAAACTGTAAAAGTACTGTAAAAGTGGTACTGTAGCAGTACCCCAGAACTATAAAAGAGAAGCTCCACTGAGTCAGAAGGGTAAGGGTCACTGTTAGATAGGCCAAATAACTTAAAACAAGAGTAAGTTGAGGCAAGTTCAGCCAAATTCAGCCAAATTCAGCCAAATGAGGGAATGATTCGCCAGCATAACACCCCAAGAAAATGTTTAAACGGTGTAAAAGTTAACGTGTAAAATGTGATAAAAGATTGCGTATTCTGAGTGATTGCAAAAGCCTTCGCCCATGTCCAGTGAGCACATAAGAAGTGCAGTGCACATTCCTATATCCTCAACGTGTGTCACAGTTCTGTTTAACAAAAACCTCGTTTTGCGTGCAGTGCGGTCTATAATCTGCAGCGCTACTAGATCAGGGTTTCAGTGTGTATATATTCCATTTAGAGTATGACGCTGAGTGCAGTGCCATCCCATTTGTGGTATGCTCTGTTTGGGGTCCAGGCTGGTTTGAAGGCCGCCTCTGTTTGCACTGTGCCGGGTCAGACTGAGGTCACGCCCCAGCTGTGGAGGCGGGACACTTTCTCACACCGGGGGGCACTCTGAGCGCGCCAAATGCCCGGTTGGCATATCGACCGCGGTGCACCGATGCTGTTCGTCGGAACAGTGTGGGAAACGCACACACAGTGCAAAACATAACTCAGACGGCATCGGTGCCAGACGTGCTAATTGTTTCGTTGAAGAAAATGCGATGACGGAGACAATGGCGATTGCTACAAGACTCAGTCTGCTTACTTTATTCACGTGTTTTGTGTTACACAACACCATTGATTACCTGACATGTGCATTGCAATGACAGCCGTCAGCCAATGAACAGAGTTTGGAAGTAGCTCATTTCAGCTCTGAAGCTTTGGCTAGCTTATACCTATTCCATTTATCATGTTCATGTATGTAACCACGCTACCTAATAGCGATAAACCAGATAAATAGTGAACGGAAACACCACATGCGCAACTAAATTTCGATCACCAAAGTGATGAGAAGTGGCCATCCCAGCTAGCTCAGCCATTTCTACTGTCATACTGGATCGCGTGTTACCTTCAAATCGGTTGTCATTCGTATTGCGCGCCATATAAATCGAGCGCCATCTATATCGCACGCCATCTATACGCGTCATTCCCGCCACCTATCGGTCGGCAGGTTAAACATCACACTGTTGGACGGCTACGCGTATGGCAAGTACCTGGGGAACGGCAGCTACGGTGGCATGGTGGGCGCGCTGCAGACGGGCGCGGCCGACCTGACCATTAGTGAGGTGTCGGTCACCACCGACCGGCAACAGGTCATCGACTTCTCCACCATCCTCTCCGTCATCAGGTATGGCACATCACTCAAAGAGGTCCAGTGGTGGTGGTGGTGGTGGGGATGTGTCAACCAAAACTTGACCCAAAACATTAACCCGCGCACTACGGGGGGGGGCGGATATCCGCCCCCCCTGAGGTTTTTCGCGAATAGCGGGAAAACCGCGGCGCTACGCGCCGCGAAATTTGGTACGACTATTCTCTCATCAATTTTACACATGGTGTGCAAGTTTGAACCTCCTAACTTTTAAGGTCAGGTCACCAGCTTACTTTGAATGACCCAACCTCAAGTCACTTTTTTGCAACTTTGTCACCGTGCCAGAGCTACAGTAGATGTCGGAGGCCTTTGAAAGTCGCAGGATGTTATGAGGTCATTAGTAGCTACAATTTGTATATCTCGGAATTTTGATATCGGTGACCTAAGATCAGGTCAATTTCTCGACCTCCCCATTATAAGTCAATGGGGGGAAAAATCAGCTCCCTGTTTTTACCACTAAAACGGGTCGGAATGGCACCATATACCATATGTGACTTCATATACGATCAACCTTCACTACCTTGAGGTCCGTTTTGCTGTTGGGCAGCTGTAAGGTCATGTGACGTCATCAAAGGTCACCAGCGGTTTTTTGCCAATAACTCCGTACAGGAACAAGATACAGCCGCGCGGATGGTCTCATTGTGTTCAGCTCGTCAAGACGCATCGAATGATATACATGATGACCTCGAGGTCACGTGACCTGAGGTCAACCTTTGACCTTGACATTTCGAGGTCAACATATATATCATTCGATGCAGATTGACGAGAGGATCACGATGGTGCCCTTAGTTTGTTCCTATCTTGACTAGTTCGAAAGTTATTCGAGAAAAACTCTCTCCATATATAGCGCCGCCATTTTGACTTTTTTGACCCCTGTGACGTCATCTTTGACCTGACCTGAAAATGACCTCAGTAAAAATTGTAGACCTTGTCCGTGCGTATCCGATGCCGTTTATCGCTTGTCGCTATCTTGCTTCGTTCTCGAGATCTCAGGGGGGGAGGCGGTCATCCGCCCCTCCCGTCGGTACGAAGTTGGCGCAGACCCCCGTCGGTGCGCGGGTTAAAGGTCACGCCATCTCATGGCTACCCGTATGTTCCGGCTAGCAGGCATCTTTTGAGCCGTCGCGACTAGCGTTGTTTGTCCCCAGCCGCCACCATCTATGGTTGTTGCTCAGTTGTCCCCAATATTGGTCCGTCCCCAGCCCTGAGTCCCTCTCACTCTGCGCGTCCCCAGCCGGAAGGTGTACCTGCGTGCCGACTCGGAGCTCGACTCCTGGGTTGGCCGCTACTCGCGCGGTATCAGCGTGCCCATGGCGCTGCTGTTGTCGGCTGTGGCGCTGGCGGCGGCCGCGGTACTCCGACTCTGCGAGGCAGTGTCACCGGGTCGGCGACCCGCCTGTCCGCCGGCCGCCGGTGACCTGCGCACCTTCTCCGACGCCCTGTGGACAGTGCTGGGGCAGCTGCTGCAGCAGGGCGCGCCGGTGGGTCTCAGGTCACAGGAAAGGGTCACAGGCAGGTCACAGCAGCGGGTCACAGGTTACAGCAGTGGCTAGGATCAGGGGGTAGCAGAAGATGGCTACGTGCTACCGTTGTGCGGGGAGAGATACAAGATTTTGAAGGTTTTCGTGTCCCATCACCTTGCTGCGAAAAAAAAACATTGCTCCCAGATTCGAACGAGCCTGCTCCTCAGCATGGGCCTGCACCCGCCCCGTTACACAGCAGACATCTCCACCCCTCCCCACTCTCTCAGGTGACTCCCAGCGCGCTGTCGTCTCGGATCGCCTTCCTCAGCGGCCTGATGCTCGGGCTACTGATGTACACCGCCTACTCGGCCACCTTGGTGTCATTTCTGGCCGCCGCCGACCGACCCAGGCCGGCCTTCACTGACCTCACCGGCCTGCTGCACCTGCCCCACTGGAAGGCCGGATGGAAGGACGGCGACCTACTGGAAAACTTCCTTGTAAGGATGGCTGGAGGCGCAGACGCATGCGGAAAGAGCTGTGGAATTTTTCTGGTGAATAGCGACTGAGTTTACATGCTTCAGGGGTGCACTCTTTACTTTAGGTAATGTTGATTACATAATTTAAGAAAACCGACACCGAACGAAATGCCCGTCAATATCGGTATAACATTGGTATATGAAATGATGCAACAAGTTGGGTTCATAAACCTTACATAGATAGCTTCAGTGGTGTGCAGCGGGAACGGGCAATGAGCAATCGACCATAAGTTACACAGGCCAACGTTGACAGCTAAACAAGTAGGTGATCAGTATACCAGAGCCATCAGGATCGGAATATGAGTTCGGTACTGGAGTAATCAGGCGGAAGACAATACCATTTTATTGCGTGTCGATGTTTATGTTAGTGTCAACGTCTTTGTGTTTTAGACGTTTAGCAGAACAAAATACCATTGCAGTTACTGGTGAGTCAGAAGCCTTAGAATACCAAGCCCCCAGCCTTTAGCAATCGACTGAAAGGCTTTCACAGAGCCGTGCATAATACATGAAACAATTGTCTGCCGAATAACTGGCGTGCGTGTCCAGAAACAGATAGGACATTAAACTCGTACGTAAACTTTTCTAGTTTATGGGCGATTACTGTACAAGCCCGTCGATTCTTTACGATGGCTTGTTTTCTTAATGTCTGAAGTCGCACGCTCGCATGCGCGAAACATTGGAAAACCGCTCGATATACGAGTATTCGTTGTTGAGGACATTGGGAATTACTTTTTCGGAACAGCATGGGTAACAACATGCATAATTTATAAACTATTCCAATAATGTAAGTATGCGATTGCGTCATACCTATTTTTCTTTGCTTATGTAACAGTGATATTACAGGCCTTCCACTGACCTGAAAACCTGTCTCCGACGCACAAACGTCCTATTCCCCAGTACCTGACGAAACGCAGGTGAATGGAGCTACATGTAAGCGGGAAACATGGTGTGCTGAGAGAAAAATAATGACAGTCTTCCCAGAGTCACAAGCTACCTTGACGTATTCGCCTCATGTCATTTGCCATACTGAGGTGACTGGTAACAGTCGGGACTCATGGCCCGCCATTGCAGGACTGGTGCCGGCTGGTGCAGAGTCCGCTGCAGGACTGTGACACGCTGCAGCAGGTGTACGAGAAGCACGTGCTGCCGGAGCGAGAGCGCAACCTGGTCGACAGCTACGAGGAGGGCTTCAGGAAGGTCAGTAGTTCAGTGCCAGCCGCCCGGTGTCTAAGTGGTCGGGTGGGGTGGGGGGGGGGGGGGCAGTGCACCCAGCAGTGGCACTTCCAGAGGACATAAAGAAGGTCAGTGGCGGCCCCTCGATGCATGGGGCAGCAGATCAACAAGTAGTCCATATCATGACGGCAAAGCAGAGCGCGGCACTCTGGATGATGATAACTGAGGCTTACAAGTAGATGCCTATCATGTCATGCTAATGTCAGTGTCATTTAAGGATGTCTCGGAATGACCTTGTGACCTGACACCTATCAATCGTTTTTACTTTACATGTCAACATGGTTTATTGACCCTCTGAATCAACCAAAGCAATATCTAGGATAGACGAATTACCCAACGGAGAATATCGAAAGGAGGAGACACCGAACGCAAGATAAGAAGAAGACAAAATATCGAACGTAGTAGGTCTATTGGAGAATGACAATACCGATATCGGCAGTGCCTATAGCGAACGCAAAACATTGAAAACACAAAACATCGAAACATAGAATACCGAATGACAGCATCGAAAGACAAAATATCAAAAGCCAAAATATCACCTTCCTATATCGACTGCAAAACATTCAAAAGGCAACTTATCGAACGCAGCAAACGGTCTCAATATGGATGCAGGTTTCAATGAGAGCTTCAATGACCGTTTGGATGCGCCCCGAACCTCTCGAGCTGTCAGACTCGGACCGGTGTGCTCCCTCTAGAGCAAGGACAAGGGTGATGATATTCAACTAAACTTATACGTTTAATGAATGAACACATCTATTACTACCGGCTGCTGGGACCTTTGAGGCTTACAGTACATAGAAACATTAAAAAAGTAACGCAATGCTAGAAGCCAACAATACATATTGCAAACACTTTGCTGCATTTTTTTTATGAGGGCACTTCCACGCGCATACGAGACTACAATGCACCTGTTTTGCCGATACGAGTCGCGGACCGGATGTGGGACGGGTGGCGGCCGCGGGCCGGATCCAACCATGCGTTCCCGACCGGATCCGACCTGCGGGCTGGAGCCGGTCCGGCACTGTTCGACTGCAAACACAATTTCGCCACTACAAAGGCGTCATTACGATAGTAGTTTGGTGCTGTGCCGTGAATCCGTCGATGACGACCGGCCAGCGTGACGCCGCTCCGCAAGAACTTGCATCATACATGGCCACTTTTTCTAATAAAAACACAGCATTAAACCTAGCCGGCCGAGGGGCGGGGGCGGCTGCCGCCCTCTATAGGATTTTTTTCGCGATAGCTCCGAACACGCTGGCGATAGAGAGCTGAAACTTGGCATACCTGACATTTGATTCAAGCCGGAGCTTTTGACACCAACCGCATTTTCGGGTCAGGTCAGGTCACTGACCTATGACGCCATAAGTGAACCTCTGCACGGTCTTCAGATGTCGCAACTTCGCAACGCCCTCACTGCCAGTGGAGCTTTCACAGGGAAATGAAACCTGCAGGATCTAGTATCCATTACGAGTGTCACAACTTGTATATCTCGGATTTTTCCTAAAGGTCATATGAGGTCAGGTCATTTTCGTGACCTCACCATTATAAGTCGATGGGGAAAAATGAAAACTGCTACTCTGGCGCTGGGAACGATCTCCAACTATCTCAAGCACACAGAATCGTGATTTGATGCACTCCTTGCAAGGTTAGATGCGTCACTTTTGCAATGTTGACCTTGTGTGACGTCATCAAGATCATATTAGTTTTTCGTTAATAACTCCCGATCAAATTGAGCTAGCGAGTCGGGAAAGCCACCAATGGACTCCGAAAGACCTACCGCATCGAATGATATGCGACATGACCTCTTTCGACCAACTTCGTGACCTGGGGGCGCTGACCTGACCGTGACCTGAGGTCAGCACCCTAAGTTGACCTGACCCAACAAAAAAATATATTATTCGACGCGCCTGAGCGAGGCGAATACGATGCTGCCAAAATCGCGGCTCTGCGCCCGTTTTTTTTTTTGCGAAGTTATTCACCAAAACCTGAACCGTACCTTGGGGCACTTGACCTGACCTCAGAGGTCACCGGTTGACCTAGGACCTTAAAATCGGGTACCAATCTCTGTGTCTCGTAACGGCGCACACGCTCGTTTTTTTCGCAACGCGCTAGCTCCACCAGGGGCGAAACGGCGAGGGGGTCGTACCCGCTCCCCCCCCCCTCGGCCGGCGCGTATGTAGAAAACCAATAGGTCCGGCGAGGGTTAAATCGCCTCATCAAGTTTTGAATCGGACTGCAGGGAAAATCCCTTTTAAATCCTCGTGTCTATGAGAAGATGTATATTTTTGGTTTATCATTCGATACGATAACATATCAATATCGCAGCGTAAACCTGTGCTGTGCTGCCACTTATCGTCGACCATCGGCAGATGTTCGACATCACTAACAGTTCGCACTTTCGCCGCCAGGTAGCAGAAGGCAACTACGCTTTTCTAGCCTCTAACGAGGCTGCCGACTACTACCTGTCGAAAATCGACCCTCACATTGCGTGCCACGTGCACAAGCTGGACGTGAGCTACTCTCCGGGCGGCATCGCACTGGGCCTGCAGAAGCACTCGCCGTACCGGGAGCTCTTCAACCACGGGTCCGTGTGGCCGGGATGGGGTGAAGAGAGCATTTGTAAGGTGAAGGGTGGGTGTTGGAGGAGGCTCCTCCATCACGAGCCTGGGCGGCATTGCCGAGGTGAGGGTGGACTCACGCACTCATTTAACCTCACATCGTTGTGGGCCAGGGCCTGGCTTTGGCATCAGCCGCTGATCCCATCAGCATGCCTAATTATAAGCCATTTACAAAGATAGAGGCTAGAGCATTATTTGCAAGGGTAAGTGCACCTTGCAATCATTATATGTCATTTATGTGCTCACGTCTCCAATCTTACTCAACCCAGCTTCGTTCACGTCATCCCTTCTTTTCCATCTGCAGGATCCAGATGCTGGGAGAAGGTGGAGTCCTGGAGAAGCTCTACCGCAACGCGCTAGAATCCAGCCTCATCTGCAACACGGAAACCGTCGTGGAAGCGTCGCTTCTGCACACAATGGGCGCCTTCGCCGTGCTTCTACTGGGCGTCACAGCTAGCCTCCTAGTGCTCACAGTCGAGTGGGCTGCCTTCCGCTGTGCCGTCAGGGTCAGGTCAGAGTCAGGTCAGGTCAGGGTCTTATCAGGGTCATGTCAGGGTCAGGGTCAGAGTCAGGTCAGGGTCAGGTCAGGGTCAGGTCAGGGTCAGGTCAGGGTCAGGTCAGGTCAGGATCAGGTCAGGGTCAGGTCAGGGTCAGGTCAGGGTCAGGTCAGGGTCAGGTCTAATCTAGTGATGTTAACCCGCGCCCTGGTGTGGGTCTGAGCCACCTTCGCCCTGGTGGGGGGGGGGGCCAAAATGACCCCCCCCGTCTAACTCGAAAACGAAGAGGGCTAGGAAGACGCAGAAAAAAGCAAACGAAAGCCCATAACAAGTACGTTCGAAAGTATTTCGGTCATTTTTTCGCTAAGGTCAATATTGAGGTCGCTAGAGGTCATCATAGGTCAAATTTCAGTGTTTTCGGTGTTGCCGGACATATTCCGCTGTAGCTCGGAAACTAGAAGAGCTAGAGAGCCGCGGAAAAAAGCAATCGATAGCTCTTTTCAAGCTCTTTCGCCAAGGTTCGTCAGATTTGACCTCAGCTCAACGGTTTGGCCTACAGAGGTCATGCAAGGTCAACTTGGCAAATTTCGTTGAAAATGTTTTTAACTATAGCATGCATTCACGAGAAAATAGAGAAACGATTCATGCACCATCGTGCTTGGCTCGTCGAGACGCGTCGAATGATATATAGTTTGACCTCGAAAGGTCATTTTGAAAATTTGACCTCAGGTCAAGGTCATGACCTTACCGAAATAGGTCATGCTGCATATCATTCGATCCGCATTGACGAGACAAACACGATAAACGTCGAACGGAGTCTCTATCTCTATTCAATAACAAGTAAGTGCAGAAAAACCGCTGGTGACCTCTGGTGACCAGGGAGATGACCTAGCGTGACCTCAGCGAGGTCACAAGCAAATGGTTTCACATGGGCTGTGATTTGCTGACCCAAGACACTTCAATAACGAAATATAGGAACAATCACGCCCGATTTAGCTGAAAAACAACTACTTTTCGATTCTCCCATTGACTTATAATGGGGAGCAGCGATGACCTGACCTGACCTTAGGTCACATTTATAAAAAATCCGAGATAGCCATTTTGTAGAGCTGGGTGACATCTTCAAGTACTGTAAATTTTACATCGATCGGATAAAAGCTGTGCCTTTGAGAGAGCTTTGAACTTTTTTAGAGGTGGTGTCAGTTTTGGTGACCTTGTGACCTGACCTGACCTGACCCGAACCCCCCAAAAAAGGACATGATGTAAAAATGTTGAATAAACAGCTATACAAAGTTTCAGGGCGCTAACTCAAGTGGTTTCTGAGTTATCGCTGAAAAACCACAGGGGGGGGCCAAAATGGCCCCCCCCCCCACCAGGGCGAAGGTTAAATGCATAATTTGATAACTGATGCTTAACACCTACACTGGACCTCGCATGTGGGCTGCGAGTTTGCGCGGGTTTTGAGTTTGCGGGCATAATTCTAATTCATATAGTGATTAGACCGTTCCCTTATGGTAAATTCATGAATGCAATGAAGCCGGTACACCTTTAGAAAGTTACGCATAGTCGCAATTCGCAATACCAGCGCAAGGAACCAAAATTCGACTCCAACGAAAAATCCGCAAACCTCGCAGAACTAGCAGAACTCGCAGCGAGGAAAATCGAAAGTTGACTCAAAATCAACTTTTGGAATGCGATGCAAGGTCGCTCGCAAGCTAAAACCATGCAGACTCGCTTGTTAGATGTTAGTGTGGGTCACTCAGCTTAGATTGTATCATTTGATTTTGAAGAAACCTGAAAACCCAAAAACTCGCAACCCGCATGCGAGGTCCAGTGTGGGGCGGCCTAAAAAGTGGCTGGAATGAGCTATAAAGAGCTAAGTATGACAAATCCTGGACTCAAAGGGTCTTCTCTACAATCCTCAATTACATCAACTCAGCTGTTTGACGTTATCTCCGCGGCTTGTTTTCAGGCTGAGCCGCGCCAGCCACCTCGCCGGTGACCAGCTGAGGACACTCTCCCGCCAGCTGTCCGACAGAGCCACGTGGCACGAGACGAGAGTGGCGCACCCCGCGCCGCACCACCCCAGCGCCCTGCCGCCGCTGCGGCAAACTGTGGCGCATACCGAACGCTGACTGCGCGCCGGGGTGGAATCCGAAAACAGGGCGCCTGGGGCGATTTGATCAAGGCTTTTGAAATTATCACGTGACAATTGACCTGTTAGAGCCTAGAGGCACCGGAAGGAAGAGGACTTCTCAGTAATCACGTGATCAGTATGCCCTCCGGCGTCCTGTTTTCAGATTTCATCCGCACCGGTCGTGCAGGGGATTTGATGGACTGGGACAGTGCCCTGATGACAGTGAACCAAGCGCTATCTATTTCTTATTAGTCTATCATGTGATAACAATTGCGTACTAATGTCGCCCGCAATTACACATAAGTTTAGCTATTATATGGTACTTGTATACAGTCAAATGGACGTGTTTTTGTGTGTCAAATTAGTGATACCTACGTTGTCAGATGGTGCAGGTAACTTGGTATTTCCTGTTTCACTTTAGTAAAAATACACTCCTAATATGGTCTAATGGGTCTCCTTATAATGAGAATTGAAAGGACGTCTTTTCATTAAAATTTCGCATCTCGGAATTGCTCTCATTTTGTTTTTGTTTGCCTAGTGTTATGTTATGCGTGTTCCTATTTTTAGCGATGTGCTCATTGCTTCGGACTGAAGTCCAACATGCCCTAATCCATCTGGCCCATTCACGTTGCCCGTACCTTTTTAGATCACAGATTAGCCGTTGGTGGTTATTATTTTGATTTGGCGAGTACATTTCCCGGTATTAAACGTTTTCCGTCATTTACGACATTCGACGAATAGATTATCATGGAATACAATATTTTCTCAATACGGACATCTACGATGATATATGGGCAGTGGACCTTACATTTATTATAAACTTACATTTATTATTGATCTATTGCAACGCATTCCAACTTGAAGCTTCCGTTGCCATCGGTAACCTCAATGGCCCATCACTTTAGCTTTTTAACCCTCGGAATGTCCTACCTTGTCCGTGGACCACAAAGACAAACGGAGCCCCGTGGTGACTCCTGCGACAACCCCATCAAATATCGGTCGGCGCTCTATGACCTCCGGAAGCGACAGATACAACATGGTCTTTCGCGTTAGCGTCAGTATTCGCCGCAGATCAAACAGGGATTACCCGAGCGAAAAGCCGTCTAATCGTCCGTGAATGAAGTGCAGTCGGGACGGACTAAATGTAGTGAATAGGGCTGCCAGGGAATGTTGTAGACTAACTGAGAGAGAACACCAAACGACCATTCACGAACAATGAGACTCCGGGACGAGGTAGGTAGTTCAACATGGTGGTCGAACGACAACGAGCAGTGCAGCTCTAAAGCTCCAGCTCGTCAGAAGCTGCCGTGACTTTCTTTCAGCACCTAGAGGGATAAGCAGGTAAGAATTCACAAAAAAGCGCAGCATAGGTATGAGAATAAATACGCGTCCCAGTATTGCATTGTTAAGGGAATAACGGATTTCTTGACCTATTTAGTAGCAGAAATATAATCTTATCTTAACCCTCGCCAGCACAGGCCATTTTGATTCCTTCGACGGCACAAGGGTTGGTACGACTCCCCCCTCGCGTTTGGCCCCTGTTGGAGCTAGAACTTCGCGGAAAAAACGGGCGTATTGCCCGTCACGAGAGGAAGCCAATGATAACCAATTTTAAGGTCCTAGGTCATCAGTTGACCTTCCAGGTCAGGTCAATGACCCAGAAATCGGGAATATCGGGACCTGTTATAGTATGGCTGCTAAGGGTTTTTTTCGGGGTGCTGATCACGAATATCGTGTTAGTTTTGAGCACATATGATGTCGTTAAGCGTTTAGACCAGGTTGGGTCAGGTCAGGTCAGGTCAACCGGTAGGGGTCGTGACGGGTATTCGTAGTACCTGTCATCCGCCACTGACAGCTTCGTAACATGCTACGAAGGCACTAAAACTACTTCGTAAATGTTCAAATGGTTGCTAAATTCGAATTCAGCTCCAAAAACAAGCCTAGAAACATGAAAAGCTCGAAAAAGTGAACCGAGGTCACTTAAGGTCAGTGACCTGACCTGACCTTCAGGTGACCTTGACACCCACCCTATTGCACGGGAGCAACATCATATCACATGTTGAACGCTTGAAACTACGAAAAGACTGCAAACGCGCGGCTAATGCGAGCCGACATACGTCGAATCGCGATTCCGGCCAAACATGGCCTCGAGAAATACGTCACAGGTCAAAGTTCCTTTGGGTCAGGTTCACGAAATTTTCAGGGTCGGTGTCAAATTGATTAACCCCGGGCCGGTGCTCTGCGACTTCCGCGCCGGGCCGGGGGTGTCAACACCCCCGTCTACCTCGGCTCCTGGGCCACGGAGCGACACGCGGTAAGCGGCATTCGAAAGACCGTAAAAAATAACAGTTCAGTCGTTTTTTGGGTCAGGTCAAAGGTCAGGTCGCCAGAGGTTATCAAAAGTCAAATGTAGTCCATTTAAACAATTTTGGAAACTGCCAACGGCTAACTCGGGAACCACTAGAGCTACAGCACCGCGGAAAAGCTCATTCGATAGCCCTTTTACAGACCTGTCTGATTTGACCCCAGGTTTACCCTCCAGAGGGCAAAACTCTAAAAAAAGCCGTTTTCACGAAAATGGTTTTTCGGTACCTAATAACTTTTGATTCCGTCAAGTCACGACCAGCATCGTGTTCCTCTCGTCAAGACGCGTCGAATGAACTTTTCGTTGATCTTTAAAGGTCATTGTGAAAAATTGACCTCAGGTCAAGGTCATGACCTGACCGAAAAGGGTCATGTTAGCCGTTTTCACGACGGAATAGCGGGTACCTAATAGATACCTGTTTGGTCCGTTGATACCTCAGGAATTTTAATAGTTCTTTATAGTAGGTTTTCTACCTTTCGAAAGAGTGGCACGTTACTTTTCTGTTTTCTAATAAATATGACGTTAATTTATTTCATCGAAGGGTTTACTACTTACGTAAACTTAAGCGTAAGCACGTTTATGAAATTGTCAAATCTATATAATGCTAGTCCGAGGTGTCGATTTTTCAAAATGGTTGGGGGTGCTCAACCCCTGCACCGGGTGAAAGATTGCAGATTTGCCATGGGGCACAACCGTACAAGGCAGGGCTGGTTAAACCCATAACCCTCGCCGGCACAGGGGCGGGGGGTTGATGCAACCCCCCTAAGCTTTTCGCGAATAACTCGCGTAAAAAGCGGCAGATCGCGACGAAACATTCAGTACCTTCGCATTGATCAATTTTACACCTACCCTGAAAATTTCATGACCCTGACTCAAATGACCTTTGACCTGTGACCTACTTTCCGAGACCATGTTTGGCCGGAATCGCGATTCGGCGTATGTCGACTCGCATTAGCCGCGCGTTTGCAAGCTTTTCGTGGTTTCAAACGTTCAAACATGTGATTTGATGTTGCTCCCATGCATTAGGGTGGATGTCAAGGTCACCTGAAGGTCAGGTCAGGTCATTGACCTTTGGTGACCTCGGTTCACTTTTTCGAGTTTTACATGTTTCTAGGCTAGTGTTTGGAGCTGATTTCGAATTTAGCAATCATTTGAACATTTACGAAGTAGTTTTGGTGCCTTCGTAACATGTTACGAAGCTGTCAGAGGCGGTTCATACGTGTTACGAATACCCGTCACAACCCCTACCGGTTGACCTGACCTGACCTGACCCGACCTGGTCTAAATGCTTAAAGACATCATCTCTGATCAAAACTAACACGATATTCGTGATCAGCACCCCGGAAAACCCACAGCAGCCACACTTTACGACTTTCTAACAGGTCCCGATTTTCCCGATTTTCGGGTCAGTGACCTGACCTGGAAGATCACCCGATGACCTAGGACCTTGACCTTCGCCCCAGTGGGGGGAAGGGGGGCATATGTTACCAGCCTGTCGCGTTTTTGCGTGTGAATAAAATCCGCGGCGCCTACGCCGCGCCGCTTGGAGTAGCTTTTTGTACATCAATTTTGGACAAGGTGTGAAATTTTTGACCCCAGGTCATGTCAGGTCAGGTCACCAGGTCAAGTTAACTGACAAAGCCTAAAACAGTTTGCTATCATGTCCAGCCTGCAGTATTTGTCAGAAAGGTTTTAAACTTGGTGGATTGCATGATATTATGGGCGCCCATAATTTGTAGGTATATCTCGGATTTTTTTTTATTATATCCGTGACCTAAGGTCAGGCCAGTGGCGTGACCTTGCCATTAGGTATAAGTCAAAGGAGAAAAATGAAAATGCCTCTAGATCCGTTTGCACACAAAGAAACAGTCCAAATATTTCAGAATCACAATGATTTGTACCATCCGTGACGACCAAGTTGTCTTTCTTGCTGATAGCTTCTAGAAAGGTCATCCGAGGACCGAGGTCATTTGAGGCTACAAACAGATTTTTGCCAATAACTCTCGATTGGAAAGAGATAGAACGCTATGGATGGTCTCATTGTGTTTGTCTAGCCAAGACGCATCGACTGATATGCAACATGACCTTTTCCGGTCAGGTCATGACCTTGACCTGAGGTCAAATTTTCAAGTTGACCTTTCAAAGTCAAATTATAGTTCATTCGACGCGTCTCAGCGAGAGGAACACGATTCTGGCAATAGATATGTCGTGGCTTTTTTAGTCAAAAGTAATTGTCGAAAAACACTTTTCGTAAAAACAGCTATTTTTGCAGTTTTTGCCCTCTGGAGGCTAAACCGTTGATCTGAGGTCAATTTTGATAATGACCTTATCAAAAGATGAGTTCAATAGCTATCGATTGCTTTTCCATGCCTTTTTCTAGCTATCATAGTTCCTGAGATAAATGCATGCATGGGTGGAGAACCTGCCCCGGCCACCCCGGCCGTGGCCGGGGTAACCTTCAGCCGACCCCGGCGCGGCCGGGGTAACTTTTTCCACTTTTGTAAATCCTAAAAGCTGTCTCCATACGAAAAAAAACTGCCATCTATAAAAGCTTCTCTCATTATTCTTATCTACCTTGAAAAGTTCTTGAAAATTACTTTATTTTCATTTTGGAGCTTCTATGTTTTAAAGTCTTTTCCTCGCGGAGCCCGACATGTTTCATCACACAGAAGTAAATCATATTTAAGGGCCATTATCGTAAGATGGCACTGTAATAACATCACAAGACAGGACGAGGGTAATATCAGTGAGATAGAAGGACGAGCTGCTGGGGCTCAAGGCTCCCCCAACTTCCTGCGCCAGGGTGGTGGCCTTATCGTAACACGTTGAGTCGAGAGGTGGGCTTTTCACGCTCCTTCTACTCGTAACTCGGTTACTGGGCTACGAGGCGAGAAGCGGAACGACGTTTGAAAGAGCGACAAACGTGATCAGAGAAATCAGGTCATGTTTTAGGCAAGCTCAATAATAAAATCATCATAGATCATCAAAAGCCGAATTTCTCTGATTTTAGCGTTCTCCGACAACTTTTCTCACAGTTCATGAACATAACGGAGCTTAAACACTGCAAACAAAGCATTCGATTACTCGTTTAAGGCTCGGTCGCGAATAATATTTCAGGTGCGAGCTCAAATCAATAAAGGGTCATGCAAAACGGTCAATTTTGACATTTTGTTTTGTGTGGGAAGGTTGCAACTTCCACGGAATAAGCTTTGCAAAGGGCATGATGGCATTTTTAGCACGATCATCCAGCAAATTTGACCTGATGACCTGACCTAGCACTAGTGACATGCGTCCGGAATTTTAAGGCGTGTTGCAAAATTGTTACAATTACGAAATCTTCCGCACCTGCGTACAGCAGTTTTCCCTAAAAACGTACAAACGGCAGACATCCATTATTCTA